CTTCCCATCGTGGCAATTGAGTCTAACTGAAAACCCAAGTTCGAAGTTCGAAGTGTGTGTGTGTGTGTGTGCCTGTCTGTGTGTGTGTTGCAATAGGTACCCAGTGCCATCTCACACCGCCATTGGCAGTCTTCATTGCAGCTCTGAACCTCTGCAGCTCTTTCGCAAGCTTGCAAAACATCTCCGCCTCCTTCCAGCCCATAGGTCAGGTTGTCCAAGATGGATCGGCAAAAGACCTGACGCTCCCGGACGCGCCGGAAGAGCGGCGCTTGAGTCCCAACAGCAGAATGGACCAATCAGCTGAGCACAAGCGTGTCTCATCGACGTTTGAGGTGAAGTATGTTTTGGGGAGGAGTGGCCCTGGCACTTCTGCTCAACAATATATAAGATTCTAAGATGCCCCCCCCCGACTTGGTGATTTGGCGTAGAAACGCTTTCATTTAGATAGGCTCAATAGAGCCCCAAGGATTAATTCAAAAGCATCTCACCGACCATGCGCTACGAATGGCTGAATGGCTGAGCCCATGACTGCCCATGTACAACAAAGGACGTCTCACAGTCTCAGTTTGATTCTGAACGAAAATGCCTCAGATCAGGCTATCGACTGCAGCTAGCAGTCTAGCACCCACTTCTTGTTGATCCTCTGCCATCGTGCCTGTGTATCCTGAGACACCACTCCCACTTTCCTTGGAGTGCAACAGCGGTTCCAAGTCGGAGGGGATCACAATGAAAGCTGTGGAAAGGATGGTTGATAGACACCCCTGACATCCTCTGACGATGTATGTTCCTTCCAATAACCACCCTTTGGGTGCTGGGTTGCAACCTGATGCGTTCTTTTTGACCCTTGCGGAACCTGCCCCAGCCCGACGCTCCAGCACCGGACGGTGCACCTATGGGCAATGAGCTTGGTGGAGAAAGTCGCAAGTTTGCTTGTGATGCGACCGATAGAAAGGGAGAAGGTCAAGGGAAGGAGGGAAAACATGAGAACTTACCCGCCACCGACCGTCTTTCCCATGTGTTATATATCGACCATGCATATATATATATATACCCTAGGCTTCCAACCACTATTAAAATAATAGGCTTTACCGAGCTAGCTAAGGATTTTACACAACAAAAACCAGTTCAACAATTTTGTTAATCGTCTTGGAAGGCTAGGGTATATATATATATATACCCTCAGTTGAGCCGTCGACCTTTGAGCCGGACCCCCAACCAAACCCGCGGACCCGCGCGCGGACCGTTGGTTTAGGTGAGTAAGGATCTTCCGGTAGAGCCGCAAGTTGTATTCCGTCAGCGGGCATCCATTCAGGAGTACATCGCCGCCCTTGGGGTCGTAGAAGCGCAACATCAAACCCACCAACGTGCTCCTCGAGAGGCGTGGCTAAAGCGGTGAACCCGAAGAGCCCCGGACCTTTAGGAGACCAAGAGATACACAATAGCAAGCTGCTCGGTTTGCTGCCTTTTTCTGTGAAGACTAGCCTCAAATCGTCTAAATCATGGAATGGATGGAGGCTGAACAAGTGGACATGTTGGAGGACTTATCTGACTCTGTTGAGCTAACCCTACCAACAAACCAGTGAGGATCGTTTTGGCCCGTTGGTCAGCGGCTCGTGGACGTTTCAGACTGACTGACGCACGGTGTCCGAAAGCGGCACCGAAATGGGTCCCCAAAGAGCTCAGCTTCGGCGTCCAGCTCCACGCTGAGTCTTCGTTCAATTGTGAGGCCAAGTCTTTCGGTGCTTCTTGGATGGAACATACGTGAAAAGACCGTCAAGTCAAGTCGTATAAACCACTCGAACGGGGGTAACGCTGGTCTTTTTCTGTCTATAGTGGGGGATCCCTTTGGATGGCTTCTCGCTTGGCCTACGAAACCAATCCATGGAACCTCCTTATGGGATCATTTAGAGTAGGTTGGAGGCCATCGCTAGTGGGTTGGATGCCATCGCTATTGGGTTGGAGGCCATCGCTATAGTACAGTATGCAGTATGCCAGTTCAGGAAGGGTCCCACAAGCAAGTTTTCAGAGCAGTTGTGAGGATGTGTTCCATTCAAGCTGCCCCAAGCCTCGAATATTCTTCAGAACTGACATCTAAAACCAACTAATTAAATCCTCAAAACCCTTCTGTAGACAGCTGATGAACAAAACCCCCTCACATCTCCACAAAAAGGGGGATGAGGTGAATCATCCAACAGGTCTAGGTCTACGTGATCATTCAACAGGACTACTCTACTACACTCCATGCGTGTCCTTCCAAGACCTGCCCACGCGCCACCCTGCATCTTCCGAGTCGCTTCCCTGCGCCACTCTTGCCCACCATGGCCACCGTTTGACCCGCACCTGAAAAAAAGGTGCCCGTTGGAACTTCACTCCACAAAACGGGGCATCTTCTTAACATTTACTCGCATATTTTAACATGTGTTAAGATATATATATATATATACAGTATATATAAGGTATATTCTTACTTATATAGTTATCCTACATTGCATTATGTTGCACCCCTTTTCAACATGTTTCTACCACCTCAATGTCTCGGATGCCAGTCCCAGACAGGTGGTGTTGGTGCAATGGATTCACAAAGGTGTTGAATGCGGGTTCCGCGTCCCAACGTCCACCCCAAAGAATGCAAAGGATTCAGGATCACCTCTGGCCAAAGTGTCAGGAGGTCTACTCCTTGGGGTCCAGAACAGGCTCCCATTCACCATGATTGGCAGGTCCAACACCCCCAACCTCCACGCAGGGCGAAAAAGGACGTGCGCGAAAACAACACCCGTGGACGGCCCGCTTTTCCAGCTGGCCCGTTGGGATGCCCAAGGGCCTACGGTGAAGCTCAGGCCGTTCAAGACCATGGCGTCCGGGCGCATGGGATAGAAGAATTTCACCTCCTGTGGGTCCAAAGGATCCATTCATTTCAACAGCCTAATAGCAAAAGGAACCCAATAGCAATGGCCTCCAACCTACTAGCAATGGCCTCCAACCTAGTAGCAATGGCCTCCACCCTAGAAGCGATGAAGCCGAGGGCTGGATGAACACATTCAGAGTGAGTGAGGGATGAACCCGAGGGGGATGTGTTTTGCGGGTCGTGCACCGCTGTTTTGAGATGTGTACGTGTATGTTTGGGTTTCAGCATCATCAACGAGCTGCACTGCTTCAAGACTTCCCAGGTGGTAAGGAAGCGAGGTGGAGAGGGGTTCAATCTATCATAATATCCATATTAGTCTTCGCTGGGTTGCTGCAAAGTCTCAACTTCACTTAGCGAGCTTGACCACTTGCTGAGAATGCGTTTTACAGTATCCTATTCTGCTGGAAGACTTGGTGAACCAACTTCCTCAACATATTGGAAGGAATACACCACAAGCCGCATAGTGAACTGTTTCAATGATGTTTCACACACACACACCAAAAAGATGGACATGCACTTAGATGCGCATGGCATCCAGGATGCAAGTCCTGGATCTTCGTCCAACTGCCTCATGTCCCACCCTCATGTAGAGCCCGTGCCTGAAAAGAGATGCTGCAGGGCCCTTCATCCATGCCCTTCTCGCCCTGATCTGCTGGAATATCTGGTTCCAAGTCAATGATTTCAAACCTCAGTAAACAATTCATCGACGATGAAATCAATATGTGACATTTCATGATATTGTCAATATCTGCTGGGAAAAAAAAAACATGGACCCGCAACGAATTGGACAACTCTGATAACTCTGTAAGGGCTCAAAGACACTGACCCTTCATCATTACTTTGCTTGGTGTCCTGGATAGCCTTCTTGGTCTATGAGTATGGCTGTCCATCCAGGTTGGAACATGATTTTGGATCGATGGCCGTTGTCACTGATCTTACTTCTGGAATGGATGACCTCCCAAGCTTTACAAACTGTTGTCGCATTCCAAAAAATCAGGATCGCCTTCGTCAACCTCCTCGGGATTCTGCTTTCAAGTAGCACACGTTGGGCAGCAGATGCTGCCTTCACCAAGGTGTTCAGCATGCCGTTGAGGTTGGTGGTCGCAGTCTGAGAGCCCAGTTTGGTCAAAACGATCATGCCAGACTTAGAATCTCCTGTCTGGAATCTCGCGACTAGACTACACATGACACATGAAGATGCTAAACTATAGGGAATCTGATTGGTGGGGATTTGCGAGATTTGCCCCGTGCTGTGGCAGGCCTCTTTACCCGTTGGAATGAAAAAACCTCCCGTGAATCGTCTCGTCTTCAGAGGTCCTCGTGAACGAGTCGGCGGGAGAAAGGTGAAGTCGACGAGGCTCTGTTGACAAAGGAAGGCCTAATCCTTTTTGGCTCACAAATCCACAGACCTCTCTCTGAGGTCTGTTCTTTGGAATGTGAAGGGAAGGGAAGGGAAGGCTACGAATGGGAAGGGCTCCGACCTCCCAACATCAGCAACGGCTGTTGGGATGGATTCCGACCTTCCAACAGCAGCGATGGAGACCACGTGTTCGGACTATTCCCTGTTCATCCGAACGAAGACATGGATGACAAAAACAAGATGGAGCCCACGAACCCGAATGCAAACACGTTCGAAAAGCTACATATGTCCAAATGACACTCTTGTAGGACACTCTTGTGGGACACTCTTGTAGGAAACTGCTGTGGGACACTCTTACGGGACACTCTTGTGGGACACTCTTGTGGGACACTCTAGTAGGAAACTCTTGTGGGACACTCTTGTAGGAAGCCCTTGTGGGACGCTCTTGTAGGACACTCTTGTGGGACACTGTTGCGGGACACTCTTGTGGGACACTCTTAAGGGACACTCTTGTGAGACACTCTTGCGGGACACTGTTGCGGGACACTCTTGTGGGACACTCTTGTAGGACACTCTTGTGGGATACTCCTGTAGGACACTCTTGTGGGACACTCTTGTAGGAAGCTGTTGTGGGACGGTCTTGTAGGACACTCTTGTGGGAAGCTCTTGTGGGACACTCTTGTAG